TATAACAATACCTAACAATACCATGCATATACCTAACTGTGCCTCAACATCCTTAATGCTAATATATGCCAAGTGAAAGGAAATTTATTCTGATAATAGAGATAATTAAACTTGCACTATAGTTACTTTTATCAAGTAGTGATAAAAGTACTTTGTGAAAAAATGCATATAATATTCTCAAAATTTATATTATTTACAAGACATTGAAATTGAGAAATAAAACAGTCTAATTAAAATATTTTACAATATTTAACAAAATAACGTCTATGCACTTCTTACCATCCATGAATCGTCAGATAGGATATTTTTGCGATAAGTTATATTTTTTTCTATTTATGCTACCAAATATCCGTACTCTCTTTGCGTATCTCTTTTAACAGCTCGCTAAGTATTTTTCTGGAAGTACGGCTCTGGAATGTAAATAACGGCGTGATTTCTCGTAACGCGGTGACTCACAAACTGGCTTTGAATCATGCGTAAATTAATCCTTTGTTTTTCCACAAACAGGAAAGTTCCGGATCATGAACAGGAGATCGAAGTTCATGTCTTCACGATCCCTCCTCCTCCTCCTCCCTCTCTCCCTTCTCTCTCTTTCTTTCTCTCTCTTATCATCTAGCGCATGCTTCCGCCGCCACGCCGGTCTCCAAAAACGTCATCGTTCCCGGTGCACATGCACTCGCAGCAGCGATAGTCTCTCCCTGATTTCATGACTAATGACCTCGATCTACGCACGGTGTGTTTGCACCGCTTAGAGTATCTTGTCTTTGTCCGCGGCAGAAATCGCGACACGATATTGCACTGGCCGAGATAGGAACGATTTTTCCGCGATTATACGCCGAACGCTTCGAAATCAATCGATTCGCTCGTACGAAACGGGCAACGCATTCGCGTGGGTGCCACAGAGCAAGAGACGGTATCGCGGTAATTACAGGCAGATACACACGCCAAGCTTTACGTAATCGAAACCGTCTGCTTCTGACAGTCTCTATTATTAGGAGAGTCACGCACAAAAAGTCTCGTCGAAATATCGTGCATGCCTATATGCGTTACACGTAATCCAAGGTGAAAATACGAGAGTGTCATACGTGAAACCTATAGCTGCTGTGATGAGTTTCCGAGGAAATTGCTTCGATGACCCAAATTTACAGGCGCGATTCGAGCTGCACGAATATATATTGCACTTATCCAGATTTTAAGTTATCTTATTGTTAGCTGTAATACGTTATACAAGTCACTCTGATACCGGGCATTTACAGAAGCGGATGCTCGTCGATTACCCATTTCTCTTTCATTTTTCTTAAAGAGCTAACTCCCAAGAGTGTGATATGTATCGGGAACCTTCATCCTGATGCATAAAGTATCTTAGACGATGTGCATGCTTAGCGAGGTTGACTCGCGCACGATGCCACAAGATTGCCGCGTACCGTAAAGTCTTGGTCTGCCGTGAAGTAGTGGAGAAATTATTTCAATAAGTGCAAACTGTGACCGTAATACGTCAAATGCGTCAAAATGAGGAGAATTGCGAGAGCTTCTCGTTCGTTGACTCCTACACTCGCGCCTACTTTCGATATATTTCTCAGAACAGTTAATTACCGACAAATGACATTAATGAATGAGAGGGCAGGAGAAGGATTGCTGCAAACGATTTCGTGAAATATACGAACGTTTCGTTCTTCTAACTTCCCCGCTTGAAAACGCGAGACGTTGCTGCGACCCAAAAATAAGGGGTCACCGGTATAGAACAAACCATCAATTCTGCTGCTCGATTAGAATTGAATATTTTAATTCAAGAGATAATTTATTTTTCTTCTCGACGTTTTTATTGCAACATTGTCAGCGAGAAGTGCGAGCCAAGGTGTGCACGCTCATCTCGAATGCAAATTTTTTTTCGGGGCCACTTCTTCATAATTGGTCGAGAAAATTCACTGTCGGGACGCAAAAAAGCAACGCGTTTGTGCCGAGAAAAATGCAGCCGGTACTACTTTTCTCGGTCCTCTTGCCGCGCTTCCCGTCGTCTCTCAGTCCCTTAATTTAAATGCCCTCCTCCTCATTCGTCTTTCTTCTCGAGCCTCCGCCTTGAATTGCGGACCGAACTGCGCTGCACACAAACCCGTCGTTCCCTCTCGATTTCCGTGGAACGCGGAGTTTTTACGGAAGCTTTATAGAAGAGGAGAAGCGCTGCAACATGATTTTCTCAATCGGCATCGCCGATCGTGCGCGTTCGCGAAACGTGATGTACGCGCGATCATGCGAATCGCCAATTTCCACAAACAAACTGCTGCCGATCGCAAGCTGTGCGCGATTTGCGCTCGAACGCGTGGCCTAACTTCGACTAATGACATACGCGTTTTTAACATACCGTCGTATGTCATACACGCGACTATTAATTAACTGTCCAAGGCTGATGCAAATATACGTAGCTTTGCGACATTATTAATTCAGGAATTACACCATGAATTATAAATGTTTGCCGAGGAACTCGCTTGGAGACACTTTCGGAAACTGTGACGCTTAATCGTACCGCGAAGAGATACGTCCTCTTATCGATTTTTCGTCGGACGATTCTTCTCCGCAGCTGCATCGTAATCGGAGGCGCGGGAAATGCAAGAGTGAGAGAATAAATCTATAATTTATAGAAGCTTAAAGAAGACATCGCGCAAATTAACGATTTATCTTATCCTCGCGCGGAGCTGCTCGTCCGCGAATTTCATATTATATGTGTTTCGTGAGAAACCACGTCGAGAAATTCACTTACGAAATTTTCTCGGGGACGCAAGAATCGGCCGAATCCCGCTGGCGCTCGTCCTCGGTTCATCCCGGATACCTGGGGATACCCAGCCATCATCGACCGGCAATCTACCGCGTTCCGACAAGGTTGAGCCAGTGCAGCGCTACACCAGGGCGTTACACGCGCTCGAGTGCGATCGCACTCGGGTACAGCCGCACTCGCCGTGACACTTGGACCATGAAAGGAGAGAGTACGCGTTCTCCATTCCAAAGAGTTTAGATACACGAAGGATGTCCCCTGGGAATGTCCTCGGCGTCCTTCCTCGCGCGTATAGCTTGTCGACTTTAGCTGCATCGCGATATTGACGTATTATACGCGTAGACGAAAGTGCCATTGTTTTATTAGATTTAATTAAGATATAGAGAGAGAATTAGATATTATATCTACAGCGGCACTTTACATCCGTCATAATAATCTCACGTACACGCACTTAATAAGTGGGTAAGTTGAGCTTTGATATTTACGCGGTACTCAAGACTTTGGAGAAAAAAATACAACGCAAACAGCAGACTAATGAATGCAATTTTTTTATAATTTCTTCTTGCGATGTATAAGTACATGTAAACTGCAGGCGCCAGAATGGCGACTTCTTTTTATGAGCAATCAGTATAATTATTGCTTATATGTTTTTATTATTTACGCATTATTATTTACGCAAATTGATTATATAAGATTTATATACAAATGACATAACGAGACAGTCAATATCGAGTAATTAGTTTTTTTTTTATTAAGGCTCATAATTCGAAGGAAAATTCCATTCAGATCTCTGTGTCTTTGTTACAATCGTGTTCCTAATTTTGTTTAACTTTTCATACTAAACAACGTTATGTCAAGTAGTGCACACTGTTTGTTTCGATTTATGTGTGTGATAAGCTTAGCGATAAAGTAAGTAATTACGTTATATATATTTGTGATAGCATCTCACTGATCTCTCTGATGTACGTAACACGAAATAAAATCGAAGACCGTGAATGTGTGTTACCCGCCGGAAATGTCTGTGGCTACGTAGTTCAAATGTGCAAATTTTATCCACGTAGAGACACCAGTAAACGGATTTAGGTTTCATCTAAAACACGGGCACGTCTCAAGCTTCTCTCGACTGGCATTATAAGCTAATTATTCAAATATTTATATTAGCGCTCGAAAAAAAGTTTATCGATAGTCGATAGTTTCGATAATGTTAATGTTTCGATAACATTTTTCGATTATCTTTTGGGTTCTCAGAGCTCCATTGATAATGAAAAGATTTTCAACAATTTTAATACTTTGTCGAGGCTCAAAATCAAGGATAAATCCCTTTTTTTCGTCGACTTCTGAGTTCGCCGTTCTGTCTGTTCCCGTAAAACAGCAACAGCTATATTTATTTGCGCGTATTCGATCTGCGCACAAGGTGCGCAACGGGTTGCAATAATGCAGGCGTTCGGGAAGCAATTATTTTCATATAATTTTAATCGCGTTCGCGATTATCTTCTATCTCCGTTAATCTATCCCTCCTGCGTGCCATGGAAAGCACTCGTGAAAATAAATGTGCGGCCGAAATTGATATCGCTTATCACACCGGGACGCGCGCTTTGCCGTGCTAAACAAGATACCGCGCCCGATTTTTTAAATCCCCTCGTTTTGGCTGCACCAGCCGGAGAACGTTTTCGTAAACACGCGATCGAATATCCATTTGAAATACCCGCGCACGTGCCCACGCGTTCAAACCGCACTTTAAACGATTTGCTCGTCGAAAAGAATCCCTCCCTCAATCCGATTAAACGAAACCGGTTTGCAATAGAGATCTCTCCAATTTACGGACCTATTTTGCTTTGGAAACTGCAGGCGCGCGGAAAGCACGGCGGTCATATCGAGTCATCTCTACGTCGATGTAACACACATCTCTACTCGACATTTGTATACTTACGTGGAAACATTCCCGAGCGTTCGCCTCCCACAGCGGAGAAGCGGAGAATTCGTGAGCCTCAACCCCGTGAGGAGCACCCGGCTCCGCGCTTTCGCGGTACGCGCGCTCGTTGTTTTAATTCGCGGGGCGAATTAAAAGGCCGCGCGATAAACAGGCGGCGTTGTCTCGCGTCGTTCGCGGGCGAGCGAGCGAGACGGAGCAGCGAGTCGGCGGCGGCGTCTCGTCGGGCGGCGCGCGCGCGCGTGAGGAAGAGAGAGACACGCGCGCGCGCGCGCGCGCGCACGAGAGAGAGAAGGAGGGAGTGGGAGCGGGGTCGGAGGGCAATAGTGTCGCGATGTGGGACAGTTGCGATGAGAGCGAGTGCGGGGAGCTGAATTCGACGAGGACGACGGCTGATCGCGCGAGGCCCGAGATGTTCGAGCCCACGGAGCAGGGAAAGGTGAGCAGGGAAACGTCCACGTTTCCTCCGCCCGACGTCTTCGCGGACGTCTCGCGGGGCCGACGGAGAGGAGCACGGTGACACGCCGCGCCGGGCCGTTCGAGCGTGTGCTCGCCCGCGTTCCGCGTACGATCGGCACGGGATTGACATTCGCCGTGTGCCCGCCCGCCCACGCATGCACGTCCCGCGATGTGCGTCGCGTGATTCGCACAGGGGATTCGACGTTCCGCGTGCGGCAACGCGCGGCGTCCATCGATCGACCGACCGACCGTGACCGAGAACGCCCGGTGTTTCGATTGAGGATCCCCGAAGTTTTTTCCTTTTTTTTTTTGTTGGTTAGACCGGAGAGGTTAGGTTCGGCGTCCCGCGAATGATCGACGCGCGGGGCGTCTCGCAATCGTCCTGCGTTTTCCCCGCAGGAGGAACGGGCGGGGAAAACGATTCCCCGATTTTACATCTGACACTTCGCTGCCCGCTCGCAAATGATAACGCGATTGACCCGTTAGCCTGTAATTACGACACGTCAGGCTTGTATTTCTAAGCCTGCGGTTTTCACGTATTTCAAGATACAGATCTCGCATGAGTCACCTCTTACAAGTCGTTAATTCTGTTGCTAATAGGATCTCTGCATCCACACGGGCGTCGTGCTACGTGGAGCGAATGCCAGAGAGGACGAGGTTCACAGTTCAGGAACGCTTAATATTGTGGAATATGTAAGATTCTGTTGTTGCAATATTGATATTTATGTATAATTAATGTGACGCGCACACGCATATTAAGGAGCTCGTTTATGTTTACCTCGCAGAGTTTCGGTAAGTGCATAGAATGGAAGCCTGTGGAAGACTCCGTAGTATCGGAGTGTCAAGATCAAGACCCGGAGTGGTCCCTAGTGGACACGCACACCAGAAGGACCCGCACGAACTCGGAGGGTCCGGACTCCCTTGGACGTACGAGAACCGTTAAAATATTGTTCTCCGATCTAAAGTCATTTCGCGTGAATCACGGCGGGCAGCAGCTCATATTTATGCAGAGGGATGGTACCACCTACGTTGCCTTCTTTCAGCTGGCCAACGCTGAAAGCTTCGTTAACTCGCTGAAGGGATTTATCAAATTTGTAAAATCACGCTCGGACAAGAATTTGTATCTGGTGATGGACGAGGTTGAAACTGTATTAAAGAAGTCTTTCGCCGAATTGGATCTGTTTCAAGAGAACACCTCCGATTACGTGTGGAAGTTCGTGAAGAACTTACACAATCGTCCTTACGAAACAACGCTGGAGGCATTCAGCAAACTAGCGGATATCTGGTGTAAGTGGATAGATTAGTGATTTGTGGCACATGGAATAATTTACTAATGTCATGTACATAAACCTAAAGGTTTCACGTACGCATTTGGTATTAATGTTACAGTGTACAAAGAGCCAGTGAAACGGCCTGTCGAAGAAGCAGTCGCCGATTTATTAAATCAATCCCTTACGATCGATCCTCATCCACGTGTATCTGTATCTGTAGGATCCGGCGAAGAGTACGAAGTGATTGGAGTCGGAGTGGATCTACCTCCACGGCCACCATGCCCGCGTGGTAATGCATCAATATATAAACTTAATAATTATTCCATTTCAAGTATAACTACTGCATGAGGACATATAATATTTTCAACAGCATATTCCAAGCTTGAGTAACAATTATAATTTTGTCGCAGGTGCGCCGTTAACGCAAGAACAGTGGGAAAAATGTAAAGATCGACAAGGGAGAATCAGTGATCCCGAAGCTGTCAAAGAAATTATCTTTCGAGGGGTATGTGCCGAAACATTTTTCCAGCAATAATATTAGTATTCCACGTATATAATGTAAAATATAGTTTTTTAATATACTTGTAATTTATTAGGGTATTTGTCCATCGCTGCGTTTTGAAGTATGGAAATTTTTATTAAATTATTACCCATGGAAATCGACGCATAACGAAAGATTAGAACTTAAGAGGAAAAAGACTGACGAGTATTTCACGATGAAATTGCAGTGGCGTACGTTCACGACCGCGCAAGAGAGCCGGTTTTCCGATTATAGGGAACGAAAAAGTTTGATAGGTAATTAAAGAGCAGCCGAATTGTTGTTTTTATGAGAGCAGCTGTGTGCCTTTTATGTCTTAAATGAGAATTTTTTTAATGTCATTCCAGAAAAGGACGTTAACAGAACAGATAGAACACATCCCTATTACGCGGGGGATAATAATCCGCACTTGGAACAGTTGTACGACATACTCATGACCTACGTAATGTACAATTTCGATTTAGGATACGTTCAGGGTATGAGCGATCTTCTTAGTCCCATCTTGTTTTTAATGGATAATGAGGTGGATGCGTTTTGGTGTTTCGTTGGCTTCATGGATAAAGTTGTAAGTACGATGTTCTCTATGCTTAATAATATTATATCATATCACGAATGCCTGTAAGATTAGGAGACGATGAAGCGGCATTCGAACGTGGGTTGAACATGTCGTGTATGTCAGTAGGTCAGGATGGTCACTGGACCTTTGTAATCATTCACTAATAGAAAACTGATTGAAAGTCTACGCGAACAGAGAATAAAGTATCTGTTGCAATCGTTACATCTCCGAACAGGAATTTTACATATTATCTTACAGTTTGGAAATATAGATCTTATGTTTGAAACATATTGTCGACAATAATTTCCACGCGGCTCTCAACGAAATTAAATCAAGGCGTAAACGTAACAGGAAGTACATTCCTAAACCTATGTCGATCAGATTTCTTTTAAATGAATGATAGATAAAATTCTTTGCTTTAAACGGCTGTCTGTGATTCAGAATGAAATTCTAAACAGTAGAATGTGAATGCAATCGATTGCGTTTCGAGAAGTAACTAATGGTAGTATTGAATTTTGAGATATTTATAACAACTTTTATTATTTTTCAAACAGAGCACTAACTTCGAGATGGATCAGAAGGGCATGAAGGCCCAATTGTGCCAATTGTACACGTTATTGTGCACTACGGAACCGCAACTGGCTTACTATCTAAATAGACATGATTCTGGCAACATGTTCTTTTGCTTTCGATGGCTGCTGGTATTATTCAAGCGGGAATTCAGTGCAATCGACATATTGAAGTTATGGGAGATACTGTGGACCGGTCTACCCTGCAAAAACTTTCATTTGTTTGTATGCGCGGCTATTCTGGACACAGAGAAGAATATCTTAATAGAGAACAATTATGGATTTACGGAAATTTTGAAGGTAACTCAAAACATGTTTTCTCGATATAACAACAATAAGAAATTCAACAGAATCTAACGTATTATAATGCTATTGTTTACAGCATATAAACGACTTGTCACTTCATATCGAGCTGCCTTGGACGATCTCTAAGGCGGAGGGTATTTACTATCAGCTGATGTCAGTGGAGCATCAGATTCCCGATGACATACGTGTAATTATTGGATTGGAGCCGTTGCATAAATCGCCATCGACAAATGGAAGCGACGACGAGGCGTCCAGTAATAATACGGCCCGACTTAATGGTCCTCGTAACAATTCGAGAAGAAATAGTTCAGGCAGCGCCAACGTTAGGTTAGGAGACGACGAAGTAGCATTCGAACGTGGGTTGAACATGTCGTACATGTGAGGTCAGGATGGTCACTGGACCTTCATAATCATTCACTAACAGAAAACTGATTGAAAGTCTACACGAGCAGAGAATAAAGTATCTGTTGCAGTCGTTACATTACCCGTTCTCCGAACGGGAGTTTTACATATTATCTTATAGTTTGGAAATATAGATCTTACATTTTAAACATATTATTGACAATAATTTCCACGCGCGGCTCTCAACGAAATTAAATCACGGCGTAAACGTAATAGGAAGTACGGTTTCCTAAACTTATATCGATCAGATTTCTTTTAATTGGATGATGTAATTCTTTGTTTTAAACGATTGGCTGTTTGTGATTCAGAAATTCTAAATTCTCAGTAGAATGTGAATGCAATCGGTGCGTTTCGAGAAGTAACTAATAGTAGTGTTGAATTTTGAGATATTTATAACACTTACTGCGTGTACAGAGACGGGCAGGAAGGAAGAGATTATAATCGCTGCGCATGCAAAGGCGTGCAAGGTATTTTAGGGCGAAGAAAAAACCCGCGACGCGATTGTGCGATGCGCGACTTAATCGCGCGGAAACAGAATAAAGACAACATCCCCAGACCTCGACAAGTGTTATATACGCGTAACTTTCACCTAAGTTATAGTCTTTTTTCTAGATTTGTATAAAGCTTCACAATATGACTATACTGTACATTTCTAATAAAAATCACCTATTTAATCTTTCATATATTCCTGACGTGTGACTTTTTTTTTTTTACTTAATTCGAAAGACGAGACGATTAATAAGAAACTCTTTGACAAGTAAATATTGACTGGTGTATATAACATTACTGGGTGGAATTTTTTATGTTTAATGATTTTGTAAATTTTATATATTCCTATTCTGAATTACGTGCTTATTACTATTTAGTCTAATGCAATTTATTGTGTAAAAAAAAACGAATTAATGTATTATTACATTGATATTCAATTTACCGTTAAACATAATTTATAGAGAAACGTTTCATGATATAAAAATCAGAGATATCAATTTATTAAAAAATATTTTTTTAAGAAATTGATATTTTATCGCTGACCTTTACATTGTTCCAAAACCAAGGAAAAGATTGTCAGATTCCGTTCCGCCTTCCGCCCATCGTTCCGCCGTTTCGCGGTGACAGCGGTGAGTCCATGGATGTCATGGCGTTCGCGCATGCATGGGAATGTAAACAATGATGTATAAGCTGTCGGATGTACTCAGCTGACCTTTCATAAGAAAAACTTCGAGCGAGCATGGAATTTGCCGCCGCGAAACGACGCAAGAGGTACAGGAGGAAGCGATATTTGAAAAGACGATTGCGCGAGCGTGAGGTTAGGTCCAACGCGAGGCAGTGGATGGCCTTCCCCGAGTATGTCACAGACGCACGTGAGACGCTAGCGACGGGCACGATGCAGGCCGACGCCTTCTGGAAGAATTACGCGGTGGCCCAGGAGTGGCAGAAGCGGTAAGGTTCGCGGGTATAAAGTGGGCACGATAAAGTTGGAGAGAATCGTCAAAGACACCACGTTGATTCGCAGGCACAGCATAACCTGGTGGAGATCACGTTGCGTCGCCCTCGAGCACGAGAATAAGTTGCTGCGCGACAAGGTGAGATCCCTGGCTCGGCGTCGCGACCATCGTGATCCTCCGCGGGAGGACAGTCGTCGCGCGGAGGACCAGACGGAATTGGACACGAGTAACGAGGACCTGGAGTTCACCGTGACCGAGGACATGCTGAACTTCTTCGAGACGAGCGAGAGGCACAAGCGAGAGATGCGGCAGAAGCGCGAATCCGTCGAAAGGACCGCGCGCGAGGGGGAGAACCCTTCGCAGGAGGTGCCCTTTGTCGGCGCCGCCGAGAGCGCCCGGGCGAGAAAGCAGGAGGCCGACCTGCTGTACGGCGACGCCGGCTCCAAGATATTGTCGATGGAAACCGCTCTGCAGTGCACGGTGGAGCGATACGAGGATACGGCGAATCTACAGTACTGGCCCAATATTCCACTCAAACCTTAGAACCTAGCTGATCTAATGACATTCAATGTATTCTAAGATCTATCTTGAGAATAAATTATTTTATTTTTATTTTTTTTTTATAAATTAAAAGGCAGCATTACCGAAATGTCAATATTATCAATTGCCTCCCGTTTCGCCGGTTTCGCATTCTCCAGCATGCCTGCGTTAGTGCGAGAGATCGCTGTTAGATGGTACCATCTCAACGTTTTCATATCTCTTGATTTTCGCTCTTATTTAAAGATGGAACTACTAGTATTATATCGAGGCTCCTCCAATATTAATAATAAGATAGAAAAATACTTGTTTGCATGCTGAAATGTTTTATGCAAAAATAATGATATTGACATTTCACAAAAAACGAGATTGTAGGGTTGCTCTTTCCCCATGCTATATAATTATAATTTAATCTCGTGTATCACATGTATATTTTCCTTTTAAAAAATTATTTATTTGTCGATAAGACAAATAAATTGGCTTTTTTATCCTTTACATTTCGACATGGTTGTTAGATTTAAATTATAAAAGATATGATATATTTTCTAACGTTGAATTTAACGGCTTGGTATAAATCAAATAATAAGTTCAGTTCGGATCGGACCCTGTTTCTTTGTTGAAATAGAAAAGTACAATCGCAAAATCGAGCTTGCTCGTAGAGAACCCTCGAAAGTCGTAAGCACATACATACACGTTAAACTCCGCGAGGGCCCGCGGTGCAAGACGCAACCAATTGCGCCAGAGGCAATATCAAGTTGTTTCTCTCGCGCGGCAACGGCGCGGCCATAAATGACACCCGTCATATGAAATACACCGAGGGGAGAAGCAATTAATAGCTAATCCAAACGACGGAGCAATTACATTCACATATTATTATTACTCGGATCAGAAATAATCGATCGGCACTGTCGCGGTGTGAAAAATGTTATTGCCTCGCTACCGCGCGATATAGCTGCGTTACGCGCGCGCGCTCGCGTGGGACGTGCGTAGAAAAAAAAATTAAGAGGAGAGAAAGCGCGCGACGAAGATGTCTGAAAAAGTTGCACGCGGATCCGACGCGAAGATAGATACTTTACTATCTGTTAATTTCATCGCGGATGTATATATGTGCGTGGAACGCAACGTTTTAATATCTTTTGGAATATCAAATTAATTAAAAGAGACGCTGAAATGATAAGTAAAAGGAAAACGCGTATACTCCGCATACTTGCTTTGTACAATCTGTCTAATAATCCCGCAATTGTCGTGAGGATGTTCTTATTGCAGCAATTTCAGAGATCTCGAGGATGTTGCTGACGCGGCGTTGGAAGATTTTCCAGGAAAAATCAGTCTGCGAATTCTCGTACAGTGGGATGCGTCCGCATGCGGCTGGATCGGACCTGCAATCCTGTCGTGCATCGTCACACGTGTGGAACCGCTCTCGGACTGAAGAGTTGCCCGTGAACGCGCTATGCCTCTGTAACTCAATTACCGCGCATTGTGTTCATGCCTGTGGGTACCGCGGCACACGCGACGCATACGATTTACCGTGTGCACGACGACGACAACGACGACGACTAAGGCGGCTATGCGAAGGTGCTGCGCGTAACTTGCCCACAGATCAAGGCCGTAACTCCAGCGTGCACGGAGTAAGTAGTTGATATCACGTATTCAGAGTCCCGTAGCCACAGGCCTCCTTTGTTGCTGATTGAATGTGGCGTCTCTAGAATTTCAAGACTTATGTATACGACCCGAGAAAACGCGATCGGCGTAGCGAGAATAGACCGAGTCCGCTATAAGTTTGCGTTGGGAAATAATTGTACGGTCATATTTTCCTTCTCGTCGAAGACGAGTTGATTTAAAATCCAGTCTCGTAGGAAAAGGCATCACGTCAGGAACACCTTTCGCGTTTCGCGAGATTTATATCTTAGTCGTTTGCAAGTGATTGTGACAGAGAGCTCCCCGAACGAAGCGTTTCGATAAGGGGCATCGCGTCTCCGGATAATTCGGCGAAACAAGAGGTGTCTCCGCGATATGTCGGAGATAGATTGGAAGCAGGATGCGGGGGAAGAAGCCACGGCTAGGTTCGTCCAGGCGTGCGTTATCTGTAGACCGAACCCGCGGACAAGGGTCGTATAGAATTCCCGGACCGAATTCGTGAGAAGGCGACACATCGACACCTTCGCTCGAGGGAAAGCTCTTAATTATCGAAATAATGCGTGTCGCGATTCCCGACGCCTCGACTTTACGCGTTAGACCGCGGGCTTTATCTTCTACAATCTCTTACACTCTCACGAGAACACATCTGTCAGGATCCCGCGTGTTCCTTCGAATATAGATTATTCCGTTCCGCATATATCGCTTCACGAAGACGAACGCGAACACGAGGGAAATTAATATCGTCCGCATTGTGAATCTCTCAGATAAAATGCCAGAGATGCGATTGATTGAGACCTGATAGATTCGAAAGTAACAGCCCGTTGAGAATCACACCGACGAGATAGAGTCAACGACCGTCGGCATCTCTCAATAATTTCCCGATGGCCGCAAAATGTTCTATATTATTGGCACACGTGCAGTGCACGACTACGACTAGCTCGGCTAAATTATTTATTTTCATTCGAGACGAGCTGTGACTTATAGACGGCAAGTTCCCAATCAGTGTAGAACACGTAACGTGCAATGCGTCCTTCCTCTCTTTTCCCCGGTTAAACCGGTCGGTCCTACGCAAAGTAGCCGCAACTCCGGAGAGTCGTTTTATATTCCCTCCGCGACTTTCATTTAGATCTTTATCGATCAACTTTCACGGTGTGCTCCGCGCGCATTGCACTTCATTACTCCGCTTCCGACCTCCTCGCGTACTTTCGCGCGAATACAATATCGCGGGCCCGATACATTAAATTCGCTTTTCACTCCGTTATATCGATGAGAATCGTTACGAGGCTTTCACAAATTGCAATAAATATCAATTGATCGCTAACGAACTCGATAGCGATGCGTCGTTAAATGTGACCCCCGAGTTTTTAGGAATCGACAATGAGAAATTTCAAGCGCGTCGGAAAGCCGGGCGATAATGTTACGTAAAGAAACGAGTGATTGAGAGAGAAAGAGAGATGCCAACTCGCGTGAACACGTTCTAACGCTTGGGCGTTGCACGCGCGCGTACGGCAATTATTGTCCATTATTCGCGTGAATAATACGTTTCGTAAAATCGCGTATTTTTACGCTAATGTACTTTTTCAAGGCGCCCCCGTATTTTCTTGCTAAATCCATCCGACAGAAGTATAAAAATTGTCAAGTTAGTGTACACCTTCTTGCAAATGTAGACTTTCAAAGCAATTTGTCTCCAATTATCGAGAGCCACACGCTCTCGGGAGACGGGTGAAAAAATGTGGAGAAGTGCTCGTTTCGGCGAAGTACTCCCGGGATCTCTCAACCCAGTCAATTCCCAGAGGTCACACACAGACTCTCGGGTTTCTTCCCTTCCCACCCCGCAGTTTCACCTTCCCTTCATCGCGCCCCGGAATCGTCCTGCATTTGCAATCTCATTGCTTAAGGACCACCTTTCGCGGTCCACCAGAATGGCGCGCCGCTCTGGAGAATCGAGAAAGACGCGCGGCATGGAGAAGGAATGCTCTTGCTTTTTATCAGGTCTGTATCATTAGCGGTCGCGATGAGTCCTACCGAGAGTTCGTATCGGGAATATTCACGCCGAGAGAGAGAGAGAGAAAGAGAGAGAGTCTGTCTCCGCGAAAGAGGCCGCGTTTGTTCGAAAGGACAACGAAAACGAGGACGCCGTTGGAGGCACCTACGATCGCTCTCGCCTTATTAAGCCCCCTTATACTTCCCTCCCCTCCCCCTCACCCCTGTCCTTCTCTCCCCACTTTCTACCCCACTGTGCAGCACTTAAAATCATGGCTGCACGTAACCGTCTACTGATTATATGGATTCGACGATGATTTCTGATGATGCCCCCGACCCCCGAAATGGTAAAATAATACAGTGTCGTATCCTAGCCCGGACCCTTTCGGTTCCGTGGGCCGGTTCGTTAGCGGAGCCTTGGCGCGAGGCACCCTGTCATTATGCGGCTGGTCCCCATCACCCCCACCAGTACCCAATTTTCGGTGCCCCTCCACAGAGCGCGAGCTCGACAAATCCCCCTGGCATCTCGCCGCCGTCGCCGCTCTCCTTTCTTTTTCTGCCGCGTGTGCGCGCGAGGTCCTCTCCGGAGGCACGCCGGAGGACCCCGGTCGTCTTCCATCGGTGCTACTATTCTACGCCGTCGTTTCGCGACGTCGTCGCCTGTTTGTTTGTTTGTTTGCACTATACGGGTCGCGTGAATCGCCGTCGTGAGAAAATATCCGCGCGCACCTTCTGCCTGCATCACGACGTGCGTAACATGTCCACGGTTGTTAACTCTTTTCAAAATGAAATAGAAAGAGATCCCTCGCCCTCCCCTCCCCGAAATGTCACGAAACTTGACGAAAAAAATTGTATTTATGACATCCGTAAATGCTCTTCGTTTCTCTTTCTCTCTTTTTGTGCCTTTGTGGAATAACTCGTATTCCATAACGCTGTTCACCACGTCAAATTACAGGAATTATTTAACAAATATGCACCATAAATATTTTTCGAATAAAATAAAGTGACAGCGTAAAAATCTGAGCGATGCAAACGTTTACTCCGACTTTAATGTAAAAATAAAAATAAAAATATTAATGCGTTTCCAACAATCTTTAATTTCTCTATTTTAATTTAAAAAAAAAATGGCAGAAAAATCCCGTTGAATAAAAATAGAAAAAAAGGTATTATTTTTAGTTGCGTAGAGGAATGTAAAAGTAGGAGAAACACAAAAGCAAATATACGATTACGTGTACGATTATCGCGCGATATTACATGATATACCAGACAGCTTATGTTAATATCGCCCTTTCCGTTTTCTCGCCTCCAAATAGCATTTTTTACGAAATTCGAGCGAGCAGTTATGACCGGCGGACATTCGAAACTCGTAACTCGATCGCGCACTGACTTCGCCTAGCAACGTCTCGTCGTGGCCTGTACGCTCGTAAAGCAACACGCACGTTCTATCTTTCTCA